TTTTTTGATTAGAAAACACAAAGTAAAATGCTTTTGAAGAAAAAAATTTGTTTTGAAAGAAAGAAAGTTGTTTTATTTTGTATTTAAAATAACAAATATTAAAAAAAAAAAAGAAGCAAGCTGATGATTTGAATTTGCCACGTGGCGATGTTCACTTTTTTTAAAAAATAAGGGGGTTAAAAAAATGTTTTTAATAAAAACAATTTAAAATTCTAACTTTATATTTAAAATAAACCATTTTATTAAAATTATAATTTTAAAAGTAATAAAAAGTTAAAAATACATAATATTAGGATAATAAGGAAATTTAAAGTTTTACAGCTATTTTACCACACCCCCCATTAATCATTCTAAAACGAGTGCACAACAGTGACAGAATTTAGATAATTATCAAAATAGCATTATTTTCTGTATAATATTGAAAGGACTTGGATGGTTTTAACTGATAAGGCATAAGGCATTGTAAATAGAATGTTTAAATACACGCTTAGGACATGATACACAGATGTACACGCCGTTAGTTTTTTGCATTCCTACTTTACTTTTATAAATTTCTGAAATATCGAATATAAATATGCTCTGTTTTATAGGTGATTTATTGAAATTGTATCATCATAGGATGTTAAATTTATTGAAGCAAAAGTTGACCTTAATTTGTATTTTTGTAATTGGTTAATTTACCACTTGTCAATTGATGATGTAGTTTGTATATTTTTTGTAAATAAGACGATTTGAGCAGCCTTGGCGCAGTGGTTAGAGTTCTGGCTCAGAACCCAGAGGTGCGAGGTTCGACGCCAGCTCTAGCCTAACAAGTGACATTGGTACGGAAGAAGGCGTGAACTTCCCGTTAAAGGCTCTCCCGCGGTGCTCTATGATAAGACCGTAAAGACTTCTGGGAGCACCTAAATACATACAAAAAAAAAAAAAATATTTTGTTATGCTATAAATAAATTGATTTTCAGTTAATAAATCTGATGTATTTTTCCTTTAATTAGTTTAATTTTTTTGGATTAATCAGATGACGTATTTGTTCAATATAGTCATACAATAGAAAACTATTGAAAATTTGTATGCTTTGTTATAAATATGTACATAAAAATTTCTTTTTTTTTACAAAGCTATCAGGCAATTTTTTAAAAAACACTATTCGAAATGATTTGCACTTTTTCTTTTGCATATGTATTTTATCAATGTGAACAAAAGCCTATGCAAATAACTAACTTGTAAACTTCAAGTTATGTAAATTATATCAAGTTTTACAGATTTAGTTTTACTTGAAAATTTAATTTCAACAATATCTCCTTAATTTTGATTTATAGCACTTATATGCTATAAATGTTTTATAAAGTTTAATAAGTCTTTGGTTTATAAACAGTTTTAAAAGATGATAAAGCAATGGTAAAGTGGTTGAAGTGCTTTGTGTGGCTTAAAATCCTTTTGTTTATAAACTTAATTTTTTTATTTAGTTTTTTCTAATTTTCTCGAATAAAAAATAAAACATTTTAAAAATACTATGAATATTATATGCATAACATATATAAAAACATACTATAACAAATGAAAGGAAAAGAATTTTAAAAAGCTTTTTAAAAATTTTAAAAACATGAAAACACCATTGAAAATTTTTTGCACGTATGTCATAATAGACATAAAGATAAACTAATTATAAGCACTCAAAGTTTATGTGCTTGTAATTAATTAATTATTGTTTATGGTAAACAACTTACGTTGCTAATGTGCTTAAGTAATTAGCTTGCACGTTTAATATGCAGGAAACGTTTAACAGAGACAATTTTCTTATGAAAAAAAGATTTTATATGCCAACTTTAACATTCTTCAAAATTAACGAGGCAAGAGACATAATAAGCTGCGGATGGTCTGAAAAAAAAATTAAATAGAAACTTATTAAAGAAAAAAATAATCAAGCCCCTTCCCGCTTTTTTTTTTGTTCTTTATTTTTGTAGAAGTTATAAAGTATTAAACATAAATCGTTAGCTCAAAGCAAAGTTTTTTATATGTTGCTCTTTATTTAAAACTTATTAATAAAGCAAAATTATTAAAATGGTTGGAGTGGAATAGGCTAATAATGACCAGTATACGGGTAATGTTAAGTCCGCTATTCCACATATTTAAATCATCTCATGTTTTTTTAAATTTTTAAAACTTATGGTAATTAATTAAGACATTTCAAGCAGGTATTCTAAATATTATTTAGGCAGCTACTAATATCTAATTAGTTGATAAACAGCGATTCGCGCAACAGGTACCGAAACGTTTAAAGATTTTAAAAGTTATTTAAACTTTTTTTATTTCAAAACTTTAAAAAATAAAACAATAAGTATAGTTTTTGTATATGGATAGTTATTTTTCTACTAAAAAATATTGAAGTAAGGAATAAGTATAGAAAAGGTTGGTGTGAAATAAATTTACCATGACCCGTATTTTACGGGTCCGGACAGCTGGTGTGAAATTATTTGTATAAAAAAGTTGCTCATTTTTAATGTGTAAATGGATTAAGTTGTCTGGAAACACCCTCAAAACATGTGCTGATACCACCTGATTATACCTCATTCTCAAATACTAATTTTAAAAACATTAAATTAAAGTATTAAATAAATTTTTCACTCCCAGCCAATTGATTCTTCATATTATGATACATATTTTGCATATGCCATATTTTCAAATAATGTTTTTATAGTATTTAAAATTACATAGCTTCTTTAGTTTAAGCTGTACATAGAGTGTTCAGAGTTACTAGTTGATTAGTAGTTTTAGTTGATTAGTAGGATGTCCATAGTCAATTAAATCAACTATTCAACTTTCAAAGTCGAGTATTTTCCACTTTCAATTAGCAGACTTTTAGTTGATTTAGTCGAAGCTGATAACAATACTAAAGATTTGTAAATTCATATATAAAGTTTACTATTTCTTTTTTAATGTTAATTCACCTCCTTAAGGTGATGAAGGCCACTTAAGTCGAGGAGGCTATTTTAATTGTGGTTACAACCCCCTCTCAACTTTATAACTCCGAAACACAAACCTTGAAGAAAAAGAAAAAAAAAAAAAAAAAAATATATATATATATATATATATATATATATATATATATATATATATATATATATATATATATATTATATTAATATTATTTTTATATATATATATATATATTTTTAAATAAATTTGAAATATTTAAATCTATTTTTACATTAGAAATGGTTTTGTGCGCCCTATGTAGCTGTGATGCATCTATTTCTGGTGCTTCTTGTGTACTGTGCAAAAAAGTGATTGATAGTAAATGTCATGGCACTATAGGAGATGAAAATATTATCTGTAAAGCATGCGCAAGTATTAAAGCTATAAATATAGCTTTCATAATTGTATTATTATAAATAAAGTATAAAAACTATGATATTGTGTACTATTAATTACAAAAAAAGAATTTTATTTATAATTGTAAATAAAACTATTTTCTTTTAAAGATGTTCCTATCAATCCTAATAAAATTGATGATATGGTTGTGTCAGGTAAATATAACAGACTATTAGCTAAATTTAATTTTTTTAAGTCTAATTTTAATAGTTAAAAATGAAATTTTATTTCAACTGTCAGTTACTTTAGTCTTTAGAAAGTTTAGTTCTGAAAGTTTAAAAGAAATTGCTTCATCGCAACTATTAAAATCAATTTTTTCTGGTCAAGTTAGTATTATTAATATCTTTATATAAATATTATTAATGAAAGTAGGTAGGGAGGGGTTAGACAATAAAGCTTATGAAATTACCACCTTATTCACATATAACTCATCTTTATGATATTTAGTTAGATTAATAATTAAAGTTAGTAAAAAAAAAAATCATTTGTATGTAAAAAAACAAACATATTTTGTATAAGGAATGGTGCAATCTTCAAATAAAAATTTGTATCATTTGTATTTAAACATTTTTTTCAGTTATACAGCTACAGATATAATATTTATAAAGCTGGAGGTAGCGAAAAAAGTAAGTTAAATTTTTTTAGAAAATTTTTTATTTAAAAAAATTAGTTTTTAAATTTTTTAGTTAAAAAGAAAGTATCAATCTAAATTTTATTTTTTAAAATATTTTTTTAAAATTTATTGCTGACATTTACTTTATTATTTATTTTTTGTAGTTTTATTATTAACTATTATTCATATAATTTCATAAAAAAAATATATGACTATTTTAAGGACACCTTCGTGATATGGATTTAAGATCACTTTTAACGGAAGATCAAAGCAATGTACTTTTTACGAGTTTGATAACTTCGTTCAGAGAGCTAAAGTTAAGATACTGAACAACTTTTCTAAAAATAATTTTTTTTTGATTTAATTGTGATTTAGTTGTGAACATAAATAGTTTTAATGATCAAAATACAAAATTATTAATTGATCATAATGCATTTTATCAGTTACATACATTTTATACCATAGCCTTTTGCTAGTTTTTTGATTTTTTCTCAACTATTATTTATTTTTTTCATATGTTTCAGAATCATTGTTTTAAAATTTATAACTGTATGAGGTTTTTTTTTTTTTTTTTTAGAAAAATTTATTTATAAAAAATTTCTTTTTAATTTTAGAATGCAGATTATGTCTTTAGGGTGCTTGTCCCTGAGGCCATCATATATCTTTTTGCAAAGTTTATGCAAGTTTCTAGAATTCAAGTACTGAAAAAAATATATATATATATAATTTTGATAAATTATGTATTTTTTTTATTGTTGTTTGTGTATTATTTTTTATTTTCAGGCAGAAGTGACTTTAAATGCATATATTTCAAAGCGGTGTGTATAATTAATAAAAAAAACACAATATGTTTCTATTTGTAGTTAGTAGTGTATAAATAATATAATATAATAGTGCATATTAAAATACCTATATAGTTTTAATATTTTTGAGAAACAGTCAAAATGTTTTAATGTTTTTAGAAATACAGAGATTTTGCAAGATGAATCAAGTGATTCAGAATGCTCATTGGTTGATGTAAAGGATTTCACAGGTTTTTTTTATTATTTTAATTTTTTCTGAATTTTTTTTTTTTTTAATTTTGTTTCTGTCAGGCGTTCAAAAATTAGTTAGAGGAATCTTTGTTGAATATTAATATATTAGAAGTATTATATTTTTATTAATATAGAATTTAAATCTAAGTTTTGAAAGTTTTAACCCTAAATTTTTAGAAACTTGCATTGTTCTGTCTGAGAGTGAGGTACTTAATGATTAATTACTAGTAGTTTTTATTGCATCTTAAATTCTTTAAATATCATTAAACAACTATAATGAAATTTAGTTGTTTTATAAAGAAATTATACTAATTAAAAATCTATTTATTGTATTTGTTATATATGTGTAAATATAAATAAATATACATGAATTATTTAACATTGATTTTTAGGTATCTTTAAGTTATTTTGATTTTAAATTAGTTGAAAATAATTCTGAATCTAAATTTGAATGCATAGATACTACTGATATGGTATGTAACAGTTGTATTTTTGATGCCCATATTTATAATAATATTATATATATATATATATATATATATATATATATATATATATATATATATATATATATATATATATATATGTGTGTGTGTGTGTGTGTGTGTGTGTGTGTGTGTGTGTGTGTGTGTGTGTGTGTGTGTGTGTGTGTGTGTGTGTGTGTGTGTGTGTGTGTGTGTGTGTGTGTGTGTGTGATAAATTTTTTAATGTGAGATATGTTTATTGAATTTTTATAGTTACACATGTTATTTTTAGGAAAGTGCAGTAAAGCGTCTCCTTGATGAATTAGTAATAAAGGTACAATTAAGTCATTTTAAAGATTTTCACTTCATTATTTTCAAATGTTTGAGTTTTAAATGTTTGTATTCTAATTTTAAAAAATGTTGTATTTGTAACATTGCTAGAATTTTAGTTTTTTTTTAGGTTTCTTCATATCAGGAGAATGATTTTTGTGGTTAACTACCTTTTGAGGCTTGCGAAATATTAAAATGGTTATTATAAAATTCTTACTATCAATGTTTAAGTTAATATTAATGATTTAAAGTAAATAAAAATTAATGAATGGCTAATTACATTTAAAAAAATATTTTTAGGCTCATGATCAAGGTTTAATTATTGATGAGAAAGAAAAAAATCAAAAATTAAAACATGAAGTACTTCAAAAAGTAACTTGAGTATTAGAAAAAAAAGTACAACAAAGTTTTTAATAAAGATAGTTTTATATTAAAGTTAGGAAAGTAGTTTTAAATATTAAAATTATGTTTTTCATTCATTTTTTCAGAGAAAAAAAATAACCAGTAAAAAAGACCTTTCTTTCAAATAATGCAATGAAAATAATTTTGAGAGTATGATAACTGTATTTATGAAATTTGGAAAGGTTTTGGAAGCAGAGAAGGCATGTATTTACTCAAATATTTTCATTTATATGTATATACATTGTAAAATCTTTTATATAATTTTACAATTTGTATATATATATATATATATATATATATATATATATATATATATATATATATATATATATATATATATATATATATATATATATATATATATATATATATGTATATGTATATGTATATGTATATGTATATATATATGTATATGTATATGTATATGTATATGTATATGTATATGGATATGCATATGTATATGTATATATATATATATATATATATATATATATATATATATATATATATATATATATATATATATATATATATACACACACACAAATAATTTTAAGTTCTACATGAAAAAATTTGTTTTAACTTAAAAGAATTACATCCGGTCTGTTACTAATAAAATTGAAAAACAAAATGTGGTGTTACGTTGGGGCATCAGTTTTGTTTTTCTGCTGTCAGCCATGTTTGTCAAGGCTTGTGTTTCTGAGTTAAAGTCTTTAAAGGGGTTTTAACAACAATTAAAAAATTAATAAAAAGTTAGAGCTTTCTTGACTATAGTCAGGGCCTATTACAGGAAAAAAATTTGGGCGACGGTTCCCCCATCAATTCGGTAAACTTTGGCGAAAAATTGGTGTTTTTTTGCAAAAACAATATTTGCCGTAAAAATAGAATTTTCCATATCTATTTTTTTAATAACATTTATTTTGTTTATTATTTTTTAATTATTATTTTGTCTTTGCTATAGATGTTCAAAAAATGGGTATCTTCAAAGAAACAAGTTAAGTTAAAAAAGCAAGAAGTTTATCCTCGCGAAAAAGTCAAGTGCCCAATATGCTACAAATGTGTTGTTGACTTCCCTAGACATTTACGATCATCGAACCATAAAGTAAGTAAAGAAGATGCTTGTATTGCTAGAGGAGTTTATGGATTAAGAAAATCAGCTGTTGCAAGTTCAGAAGCTGAAAAAACTGTAAAATATGTTTGTCCAATGTGCAAAGCTGTTGTGAAGCGTATTCACGACCACTTATACAAATCTCCACATTATCTTAAAAATGAACCTGAAAAGTATAGAGAAATGCTTCAGAAAAAAAACTATTTTTGAAAAAGTAAATCATATTACAGTTCCTTTAAAGCACCAGCAAAATTACAATTTTCAGCAGTCATTGGATTCAAATGTTTCACTTGATCAATTCAATATTCAAAATCCGGAATCACCATCTATTAGTAATCGTACCAAATCTATTGATGATGAACCCACTTTTAAAGATTATCTTGAAATCTTTTGCCTTTATTTAAAAAGTCGATCCAGAGGTAATAAAGATTTAAAATCTGCATCCAATGAGATAGGTCAAGTCAGGAGAATAATGGAGGTTTTGTCTTTAGATGATCCATGCTATGATAAATTTTTTGACCTCGAGCGATTACAAACACTTTGGTTTCCTCATACGCAAAGAATGATGTATGAACCTGGAACAAAAAGGTCATACTTGTTATCCTTAAGCCACTTCATAGATTTCTTAATTCGTTCAAAATTAACTCCAAATGTTCCTTATGTTGTACCAGTCACTAAAGTAGAGGCTGATGTTATGCTTGTTTGTCAGAGCGAAATTTCTAAATGAAGACAATCTTTGAGAGCTGAGGAGGAGGAGAGGCAGTTTGATGTTTTAATTCAAGACAGTGAAAAAATGATCCCAAAAGAATACTTTAAGGCTATTCTTGATAGCAACTTCAATGTCACAGTTATAAAAAAAATTAAAGAGATACACTGTCAATACTCTTTAAAACCAAACGATTTTATTTTAACACACAGTTTATACACAAATACCAGAGACTGCATTTTCTTTAAAATGGTATGTGATGATATCTCTCGGTCGGGAGCTATCGCAAATCTGACATTAGAAGAGTATTTAAAAAGAACTTGTATGTTGTGTTGGTGAGAAAACACAAGACCTTTAAAAAATATGGACCCTGCCAAATTTTTATTAATTCAGAACTTAAATTTTTGTGTGACTGCTTTTATAAAATTATAAGAAATGGTGTTCCAGGACATAAATCAGAAAATATGTTTGTTACATGGTCAGGATGTAGTTTGGAATCAGGTGGTGTATCAACCCAGTTAAGTTCATATTTTTCAAAATGTTTACCAGACAGTGTTAGCCTTGGAAATGTTAGTGCTACTTTAATAAGAAAAAGTTTATTAACGTTTTTTTATGATAATTACCCTGATATGAAAAAAGATCTTGCTACTTTAATAAAGCACAAACAAGGTACTGGAGAGAAATGGTATTATTTAAACCAAACTAAAAAAGAAGTTTCTGGCACAGCCAAAAATTACATTTGAAAAGATTTCAAATGTAATTTTTGGCTCCCAAACAGACATTTATACCATTGAAAATGCAATGCCCAACAATTCTTTAATTGGAAGTCCCATATCAAATGTTACAGATAACGATCTATTTAGTGAGAATGAGGAAGATGATAATGAAAGCGATTGGGATGGTGTTACAGGTTTGTTGATGACAAGTAAAAAAATATTTTGGACTACGGTTGAAGTGGATGAATTAAAAAAAATTTTCAAAATCGATTCTACAAGTTCATTTAGCCAATCTAACATAGGAAAAATGATTTCAGGAAATGATATTTTAAAAAACCGCAATGCCAAACAAGTTTACGACAAATTAAGCCATCTTTAAAAAATTGCATTAAAAGGAGATTTACAAGAACTTAATGAAAAAGAGTGCATGACAAAAAAAGTTGTTTTTCCAACAAAGTATACTAACTTAATCAGGGTTATTTTTTCAAACGAAATAGCTGGTAAACTTTTAACAACTGAAAAAGATGTTTATAATAAAATTAACCAAACGGAAAAAGCAAAAGAGATGCTTAATGAATTTTCAATAAAACAAATTCTAACAAAAATACGATATGAAAAGGCAAAGTTAAAAATGAAAAAAAAAAGTAATTCTTTGTATATCTTAACGTTTATAATACTTTAACATTTTAAAGTTTATTACATTCAAAGTTTTGTTAGAATTTCTTACTTTTATTTTTTGTTGCTTGAAATTTTTTTTGTTAAGTTGATGATCGCTAATAAATTTGTTTAAAATGACTCATTAGACTCTTAGAAATCGAGACTCGAGAAAGATTTTATTATAACTTTAAAAAGTGAGAGATAAAGAAATTACTTCTAAACTGCTCTCTTTACAATTTTATTTAAGTAAGATCAAAGGAAATGCTTCTAATTTTACGTTAGTGGATTTTTTCGCTAAAATAGCGTCGTATAAATAATAGCGTATGAGTTATAATCCTTTATTTGAATTAATTGTAAATATAGATTTAAGTATAAAAAAAAATTTACACTGTAACGAGTCTCTCTTACAGGCTGATCAGCTTCTATTTGAAGCTGATTTCTAAAAATCAATCGGCCGCAAAACCTTGTTTAAATATAGGAGAGAGTTACCTTAATTGGAACACTTTAGGAATAAATATCTATTAACCAAAGATGGCCTAACTATGAAAACATTTATGATTTGATTAATACAAACAGACAACCCTACTACACTTTTAACCATAATTTGACTTAATTGATTGTACTAACAAAAAATTGTGTTAAAGTTTCAACTGCCTTGACGTTCTCTTAATTTATTGATTAAAAATCACTAAATAAAGTATTATTTTTAAGGTATATGATTGTTATTAAGTATTTTCAAATTTTTTTGAACCCTTCAATTTTATTATTAATTAAGTAATGAAAAAGTTATAGTTCCAATCAAGGAAACTGTGGACTATTTTGTAATATCACTGCAATACAATCACAGCATATACAAATGTGTGTGGGAAATCATTTAATAGAGCGAAGAAAAAACAATAAAAGTTTAAACGATGATGAAAAGGTATACCAAATAAAAAAAAGGTATAAGAGCTGTTCTAAATCATTGTACTAACTTTTTTAGACAAAATGCAGCGTCATGTACTATGACCTAGATGATTAAATAGTTAGTGTAGGTGGAAGAATAGTGAAGAAGGAATTGATAAATACAAGCCTAAAGTAAATATTCCTCTATGGATTTATGATGTTATAAAGAAAGATTTTGATGACTTATCTGATGATTCTCTTTTTAAAAAATGCATTCATGGAGAGATACAAAATTGTAATGAAGGACTTAATAGCATAATATGGTCTCAATGTCCAAAAAATGTTACAAGATTTTTGCTTGAAGTGGTAGTTAATCTGAAATAAAAAAAGCTTATTTACCTAGTGGATTTTAAATTTTTTATGCTTTTGTATTTTATTTATCTTATTTCTCAGACCCAATATTAAGATATCAACATGATATGATGATATTGGGCCAAGCAATTTACTTCAAATTTTCAGGAGTTATTCAAAATACCTAAATGAAGGGAATGAATGTAAAAAATTTTTAAAAATTTGATTTTTGCCTTTTTAGTGTTTTGACCTAGCTCTACCACCTGAAAATATTGCAAAGAGCAAAAAATCTTAAATAAAAAGGCTAAATGTTGTTTGTTTCCAGATATTTTAATTCATTACCTTTATTTCATGGGTTGACAGACAATTGCTAAGTTTCAAAACTTAAACATTGTTATAACTTGAAAAATCGTGTTGCAAGTGTAGGTATTAAATGCTTTATTTTCACGTAATTTCGACAATTTTCTGCTTTTTTATGAAAGATCTACATATTTAGCGATATTTACGTTGTAAGAAATATATTTAATTATTTGAAACAAATGGAGGTTTTTAAAGTTTTGTTACAGTTCTGAAATTTTTTTTTTTTTTTGTGGTTATTCTGTTTTCCGAAAATCTCTGCCAAAGGATGAAAGATTCTACATAAAGTAACATTGTGTAAAAGCAGTGATGTCCCACGGATTTAAGTGGAATTCTTGTGGTAAGCACGGAGACAAAAAAAAGTACATTGTTTCCACAATACTCGCATATTAAATAATTCCTAATATAATTTGCAATAAAATGAGATTTAATTTTCTACCATATGTGTGTATTAAATGGCATTTTGGTAATGTGGTTATCAACTCTAAGCAACCGCAGAGTATTTACTGAGGAATAAATAAACAAACAACAAAAAAAGAAAACTGATTAAAAAGATTTATTGTATCATGCTAAAGTGCTCAAACTACATAGTAGCGGTCCAGCATAACGCAAACAGCAATCATACACCCTATAAAGAGAGGGATCAACAAAACAAAAGGATGAGTAGTTACATTTAACATTAGACAGTATTGTTTTGTCCTTAAAAACTTATCAGTAATATTCTGATTTTATGGGACCAAATCATAGCACTAAAACAAGAAAACTGATTTAAAGTTTAAAGCAGTCAAAAAGATTTTTGTATCATGCCAAAGTGCTCCAACTAAATAGTAGTGGGCCAGAGTAACGCAAAAAACATTGACAATGTCCCCAGCGGAAAAGGGGGGCATCTAGGTTAAGGGGGTATATATGATAAATTAATATATGAAAACAATATAGCCACATCAAAACTAATTTCTAAATAGTGTCTTCTAGAATTAAAATAGCATACCTAGTTTTGGTTTTGAGATTTAACTAATTTAACCTCACAATAAATAGATTTTCAAAAATTTGTTCGGTAACGTAACCTTTTTATTCGGTAACTTCACAAAGCTTTCATCGTCATTAAGTATATGAAAAAATTATTTAACTATGAAAACTAAACCGTTTTCTGAGATTTCAAATAAAATTAAATAAATCCCTACTAAAACAATCTCAACAATTAAAAAAAAAAAACGATCTCATTATTAGAAGCAAAAATGCATTTTTTCAAGATTTCAAGTAAATATTTCTTCAATATCTTTGTCAACCAGTTTAATTTAAAAGTTTTTTATGATAATAGAAATACCCAAACTTGAGAATAGGGATTTTTAAAATTTATTGGGTGATGGAACCCTGAATTGGGTATCTAACATCTCCGAAAAAAAAAATTAGCTTTTCGCCACCCCTTTTATGAAAAAATGACTAAATCGGAATTGCAACCGGAAGTTTATGAAAACACCCCTGCAAAACAAAAACATAGTTTAAAAAGTTTGAAATTGTTTAATTCTAAAAGTTTATGGGTAGAATAAATAAAAAAAAACTCATATTAGATAAAAAAAATTATTTACGCACCGTGACTATACGAAAATGAAAGTGAAAAATTATTGTTGCAAAACCGAATATAGATCCACATGGTGATGATGATGATGATGATGATGATGATGCTGATGACGATGATGATGATGATGATGATGATGATGATGATGATGATGATGATGATGATGATGATGATGATGATGATGATGACAATGATGATGATATGAAAAACTAAAACAAATTATTTATACCTCATATTCATGCAGATCCGCCATAAAAGAGGCAGGTTCATTTAGATCATTGAAAAGGTACAAAATATGTCGTTTAATAACACACCATTGTTTTGTGTTTGAGCGAATATTCCTCAGTAAACCAGAATATAAAGGAGTTTGAAGATCATGAACCCATACTAAATCTTTATTTGAACTTCTAAATTCAAATTCAAAATCGATTCATGTTTACAGAATAAATAACAAATGGGTGTATCATTATAAAATAAACTATTCAAAAAATAATAATAAATAAAAATAAACTGTAAAAATAAATTTTATAATAGAAATCCAAAGAATACTAACACTAGTTAAGTTAGGAACTTTTAGAAGTAAAAAAAAAAGAAAAAAAAAAAAAGAAAAAAATTATTAAAAGTAAAAAAAAAAGAAAAAGAACTTTTAAAAGTAGATAAAAAAAGTCAAAAGGAAAAAAAATTTAAAGAGAAAGAAAACGGTTAGCAAAAAAAAAAACCTTTTAAAAAGAAATTTTAACAAATAAAATTAAAAACGAATTTTTAAAACCCAATGCTTTTATATGTTATTAAAACACAAAATTTGCAATCAATTTTTTCTGATATGACTTTTTTATTTTACTAACATTTGGCTGTATGCAGTTGTAAAAAAACAAAAAGGTTCCAGAAGATGCGGGTTTCGGACCAAAACCATTCCGTTTACGAAGTCAACGCCTTATCCAAATATGTTAAACACATGTATAAGTATGAAAACAATCAATATACTTATTTATAAAATTTTTTATTCTTTTTTCCATATAAAAAATAAACTTAATTAACTAAATTAATTGACTTATCAAAAAACAAATTATTAAATATTTTATCGTCATCAAGCAAGAGTATGTACACAAAATTTGAAGAAAATCTATCATCAGGAAGTGACTCAAAAACTGATTGCAGTATTTGATACTCACAGACAAACAAAAAACAAACAGAGACGACGAGTTAATAAAAGCATTGGAAAAATATTTATTTTTTCATATTTAATATTTACGTTTTCAATTAACAAACTGCATTTTACTAAGTAATTGAAAAAGACAGCATGCCTTGTTAAGAAGCAAAACACTTACACATTTTAAACAATATACATTATGCCAAAACTGTTGTCTCTCTGAACATTAAATGATAACTAATTCTTTGTAAAAATGTTTTAAAAAAATATTTTAATCCCAATTGTGAAATATTTTGATTAAAATTTAGTATAATTTTTAATTTAAAAAAATCTTTAAAATAATTTTTTTTTTACTTGATTATTCGCAAATTGAGTTGAAGAAAAGAAAAAGTTTAAACTTTTTATTTAATTTCATTTGATTTAAACTTTTACATCTATTTTACATTTAATGGTTTTTGTTTACTAATTTAGTTTCAAATCAATGTTTTTTTTTTTTTTTTCTCGTAACAAAAGGGCATTAATGAGGCATTTAGGCAATAATATTTAAGATAATACAGTAGTTAATTTTTTTTTTTTAATATATAACAAATTCATTTTTTTTTAACACAAGATATTCTTTTTTTTGTTTATACTTCATTTTTTTTATGACTAAGTTATATTTATAAACGTAAGTTATGTTCACAACCATCTTATTGTTAATAAATATTTTTGGCAAGAAGAAGATTTTTTGATTTTACTACATCAAGCATTGATCAAAATTCATTTTTATTTTAAATAATAAAACATTATGATAAGGCCTATCATATTATAGGTGTTTTATCCCCAAATTATATTTTCCGATAATCTTAGAAATTAAAAAGAAAACTATCATTAATGAAATAAAAGTAGAAAATGAATTTTAAGACTTTTTTTGTCAATATATGAACAAAATGTAGGAACACTTCTAATAAAATGAAAATAAAATAGCATATTAATTATTATAGCTTGCTATAATAATTAATATGCTGCTGGTATTTATATATTTATTATATTATTTATCATATTTATTTACTACTATTTTAAGCTATTATATATGTTATTTAAACATTTGTTTTATGTTAATATAACAGTTTACTTGTAATTTAATTTTAATGCTGCTTATTTTTAATTTTTTTATTAAATCAAATTTAATAGCTCAATTATTACACATAAGTAACGATTAAAAATTACAACTAAATATACTATTTATATATTAAATTTGCTAGTAAATTTTAAATTTATTACATTTAAAAAGATATAGCTATGTCAAAATATTTTTTAAAAAATGAAAAATAGAGACAATGCTTCAGGGACAGATCAGTAAAAGAGGTGGAAAGTGGAGAAACGGGGGAAATGGGAAACCCACCCCTGAAAGAAAAAAACACACTCTAGGGAATTGTATAATTTAATTGCTATTTATAGAACTTTACTCCTCATAAAACAATAATTTAATGGCAATTTGAATCCATATTACGCATGCATAAGACCACATTTTTAATTTGCTGTTTAATTATAAAACCCTTACTTTACAAATGTATTGATAAACATGAAAATGTGCAGAGACATGTAACTAAGTTGATACCAGAAATGGTGTTCCAAAAAAAAATTTTTTTTGCACGCATAGTTTGCCATTCCCTTATGTCTACTGAGTTCATACGTCTGACAAAAAGCTTTTTCTGAGGTCAATTTCAGCTATATGTAAAATCTCTATTTCTTCATTTTTGATAGAATTTAAGACTTTTTTACATTTTTTTAGGTGCGAACCAAACAATTTTACATTTTTAATGCTAGATTTTCAGCCTAGATCAAAAATGAAAGAAAAACATGTATATTAAAGAAGAACTGGATGAATTACTGCAAATTCTGACCAATACAGAGTAAGTATACACCCACAAATTTTATTAGTAGCTGATAATTGCAAATATAGCTAATGCAAATTTAGAATCTATCAAGAAGTACAGTCCATAGAAAGAGATTTACGAATATTGAGATATTAGGAGATAAGCTTAGGCAAGAAATTATAACTACTCTGAAGGGAAAAAAACTATGTGTTCATTTTGATGAAAAGAGGATGGAACAGATCAAAGAAGATCTAAAAATAACTGTTTCTGTAGAAAGAATAGCAGTCAATGCTACATCCCCTGTTATAAAAAAAAAGCAAACATAATAAAGAGATTTCGTTAAACAATAAAAAAATGGATTATATTGTATGTTCTTATGACGAATTTTAGTGGGTAGTGATTACTAAAAATGTAAGTGAGCTTGATAGAAAAGTCCAATTCATGCATCCCCATGAACCTGGTAAAAACTTCTTTTGGCAATGAGAAACGACAAGTGTTCAGTGCTCAATTCTGAAGTTATATGCTTAATTTTTACACACACAACAATATCAGGTCATACATACAACAAATCTGATTTTGATTTTGAGAATATAAGCAAATGCTTACAAAAAAAATTAAATACATTTAAAATAATTTTGTTGTTATTTTATTAACCTATTTTGCATTTAGAATTTGTCTTTCTTTTTTTCTTTTTTTCAAGTCCTTGGATGGAAGAGGGTTTAAATAAATCCCACTGTCCACCTTATTATGTCAATGACTATATTAGTCTCAAACTACTAAACAATACAATAAAAATATTGATTGTTGAAATGTTTTAAAAAACATTTTAATACCTTTGGTTTTAAAATTTATGATTTTTAAAATCATGAAAAGATCTTAGTTTTGAGTGCTTACTTAAAAAAGAGAGGAAAGTAATTATCAATTTAAAATAATAACAATAAATTATTTCTCAAACTTGAATTAAAAAAAAAAATTATGTTTTTAACTCATTTTAAGTATAAAAAATAATCAAAAAAAAATCCAGGGAGCATGGGGGGAGGGGGGCGGAGTTGGTCAGAGGCTTCCTTCCTAGACCTTCCTTAGCTAGACCTTCCTTAGCCCATTACAATAAATGTCTAGTCAATAAATAACACTATTTGATTTTTTATTCAGATAAATGTTTTAAAAAACATTTCAATTGCTTTCGTTACAAAATTTAAATTTTTCTAAAACAATTTTTAAACGCAAATTTTGATAAAGTATTAGAGAGACAATTCATTAATCTAATTTTATTCAGTAGACCTAAGATAAAATAATGATATACAATTAAATATTATAATTGGGATTTCAGGCCACAGTCTTCATTTTACCTCCAAAAATCATGAATTTACAAGTCAATAATTTTGAACAAAATTGAATAAATGAGGACATTTCCTGAGACAATCGAGTCTTGAGGGTTTCCAATTTTTGGATTCCTCAAGTAAAAATCTATTAGGGTACCAAATTTTAGAATATTTGCCCAAGCCATTATAAAGATACTGTATGTCAAAGCTGCTTTGTAGTCGCGTCAGATAATTACTAAAATGCTGAGTCAGCATAGTTTTAACTGACAATATCTCTGGAACCCATGTGTATTTTTAACTAAATTTTTTGCAGTTATTATTTTTTTAATATAGACAAGTAAGGTGAAAATGAGGTGAAAATGAACAAATTCTGAGTAAGGGTGTCAAAAATGTGTTTTTTTGGATGATTTCATATGGAATTACCCAGCAGCAGTGAAGAAAGAGATGTTGTATAGATTAGTTCAGTATGACGTTCTTAACAAGTTCAATATAGGTAAACCTGAGCTACCAAGCATATCGGAGTCCTCTGAGCTTTGGAAACTAGTAGGTACAGAAAGTTGGCTCCTGCTGAAAATTGAAAAACTTAATGCTGTTAAACAGGGATAATACAGAAGATAAAAAAGAAGCTTAAAAGAAATCTTTCCAAGTCCTAGTTAAAAAATATATAAATTTATTATTCCTCAAAATACATATTTTTGACACATTTTTGTATTTTTATTAAGAAAATGTGTAAAGTTTTGGTTTTTAACAAAAAATAGAATTTTACATATTGCTGAAATTGTGGTCCAAAAATGTTCTTTTATATATATTTGAAATCAGGGGACACTAGATAATAGAAAAAAATTGCATGCACATAGAAATTTAAAAAAAAGGTAAATATGGGATACCCTAATATATATATATATATATATATATATATATATATATATATATATATATATATATATATATATATATATATATATATATATATATATATATATATATATATATATATATATATATATATATATATATATAATATACATATATATATATATATATATATATATATATATATATATATATATGTATAT